CGCCGCGCGGCAGGCCGCCCTGGAGAAGGAGGCCCCTCGCGCTGTGACAAACATCCTCCCCCCATCTCCTCCTCCTCCTCCTCCTCCTCCTCCTCCTCCTCCTCCTCCTCTCCTCCTCCTCCTCCCCTCCTCCCCCCCCTCCCCCTACCCCTCCCCTCCTCCTCCTCCTCCTCCTCCTCCTCCTCCTCCTCCTCCTCCTCCTCTCCTCCTCCCTTTTTTACCGTTGGCGCTCTCACTGCTCCCTCGAACTGGGCTCGACAGGGCTGACTTGGGAAAAGAAACAGATTATACATGTTGGAGCCGCGACCACCATTCCCCTTCGGGAGACGGAGACTCTAGGGGCCACGGTTTTGAGACGTGCTTACCACGAGGCCACGGCAACTTCCCACTAAGAAGCTGCGCCCTCTGTTGCCTGAAGATTTTGACGCACGGGGCCCCCAAGGCCCTGGCAGGGCCAGTGGTGTAGGCCCCGCACCGCAAACAGAAAACCACGGGCAAGCCTGACTCTATCACTTTGCAAACGTACAACTTGTGGGCGGGCTCAACCTCCAAATCTCTGATCTTTCTCAGAGCAGGCGTGAGGGCAGCGCACACACCCTTTGCTACTTTGGACCTGAATCCTTTCGCGCACCTGCTGCACCTCCACATGGAGCCGTTCCACAGAACGGCGTGAGAGCGCTTACTCGCAGCCCTGGGCGGGGCCCCCGAAAGCGCGACAGTGCGGTCCAGTTTCCCAAACAGCTCTTGGGCCTTTGGGCATTCAACTAAGATGTTTGTTACTCCTAAGGCGACATCACTCCAGCCAGAGGACATGACTTCATATCGGTGGATGTTCTCCAGCGTCATCGGATGGATCTTCGCCCCATCCTTGGCGAACTCATCAGCACGATCATTTCCTCTCTGGTGGCGAAGCGGGATCCCTGAAAGCTCCTCCGTGGTGTGGGCCTTGACTTTTTTCAGCACCCATGTGGGATACGACTTCGCAAAAAGGGCCCGCCAAACTTCTGCCAGCGGAGTGTTGCCCGAGGTGGCCGAACATTTATCTTTAGCAGACATCAGGCTCTTGCAGTCCACATGAATCACAAAAGGGCGGTCAGGCTCCTCCCTCTCTGGGTCATCTCCAAGGTGGTTCAGAGCCTGAAGAAGCCCATAACACTCTCCGAAAACGGCGCTCTGAGGAAGGAAACCAGGAACATTGCCATAAACCGCAGAAACAAGTCCTCCTTCATCATTGACCGCCACCGCCGACCAACCAGCCCTGGCCACCTGCTCATACTTTCCTCCATAACACGATCCATCAGAATAGATGTGGACCGCCTTCGAGAAACGAAACTCGGAAATCGGGCCAGGCCCAGCGTATCTGACTTCCCCATCCCAACTCGCGGGAACAATCCCGTCTGGGCGAGGTAACCAAAGGTTCGTGAAGAAAGGATCCTCCTCCCCCGCTTCCAGTCCTGCCTCCACCCACTATCGGCATGTGCTCCTGCCTCAGCTCCTCAAAGTGCGGGCACTGGAACACCCTGTGCCAGACGCTGTCTAGCGCCTGCGGGTTCCTGCAGAAAGGACAAGTTGGCTCCACCTGGTATCTCCAGCGATGGAGATGCTGTGCCGTAACGAAGCTTCTAGTGAACACCTGTTTGACGACACGCCTGAGGTTTTTCCCCTTGGAGCCATTCCAAAACGCGCGGGGCGGATCCGTCCAGAGACCTCCCTCCAGAATATCCTGTGCTCTAGGGTGTTCACTAGAGCTCAGGTACTTCTGCATACTCTCGGCCACAAACTCCTTACCTAGATCCTTGAAGAGGTAGTTGGATACCTGAACGTAGGGGATCTCCGTGAGCACACATGGGGCCCCTGACCGCATAGTAAACATACCTGGTCCACGAATGCTCCAAGACGCCTTACCCATCCAGAGAAGCATGTCCCCCACAGGTCCCCACGATCTTGTGTCCCAAGAAGCCAGTTCACGTCGGTCCTGGTACTCTCGAACCACGTTGAGGATCCGATGGAGCTCCCCTATGGTGAGGCAATCTCCAGGTCTATGCATCAAATCAGAGGCCAGCCAAAACTCTTTCGCATAGCGTGTCATAGTCGCACAGGCGTGCTTCAAAGGGTCTCGTTGAGGTTCGAGCGCGAAGGCCAAGTTGAGATCTGCTCCACAGCTCAGGAGGAAAAGCCAGTCATGAAAAAAGCACGGCGTCATGAAAAAAGCACGGCGCCGGCCGCCCTGGAGAAGGAGGTCCCCAGGGTTCGTTTCGATTCCTCCGATCCGATTCGATTCGACTTCGATGGCTGCCGATTCCGAGTCGATTCGACTTCGGATTCCGATCTGGACTCCGAGTTCTGAATGGAGGCCTGTCAGCCTGCCGCTTTTGCCGCCTTCTCCCGACTCGGCTTCCGATGTCTGCTGATCCGACTCACTTCGATCGCCGATGCGACTCATCGATTCGATTCCGGGCACTCCTCCCGCGAGCCTCGCCCAGCCTCCCCTCCTCCACCCCTCGAGGAGGAGGAGGAGGAGGAGGAGGAGGAGGAGAAAGAGGAGGAGGAGAGAGGAGGAGGAGGAGCGAGGAGGAGGAGGAGGAGGAGGAGGAGTCCTGAGGAGGAGGAGGAGGAGGAGGAGGAGAAGGAGGAGATGGGGGGAGGATGTTTGTCACAGCGCGATCCGGGCACTCCTGGGTCCTTCAGATCCGGGCGCTGCAGCGTTTTCGCAGCGGGCGTTCTCGCCCGGCTGCGGACCCCGGGCCCCCCCCCGTCGACTGCGGACGTCGGAGTGGCCTTTCGCCGGAGTGACCTGTGTGGCGCGGCCCCGATGGGGTCCCGCCAGAAACGAGCATCTCTAAAGGTCGAGGAGGAAGAGGACGAGGAGAGAGGAGGAGGAGGAGGAGGAGGAGGAGGGAGGGAGGAGGAGGAGGAGAGGAGGAGGAGGAAGGAGGAGGAGAGAAGGAGGGAAGGAGGAGGAAGCGGAGGAGGAGGAGGAGGAGGAGGAGGAGGAGGAGGAGGAGGAGAGGAGGAGGAGGAGGAGGAGGAGGAGGAGGAGGAGGAGGAGGAGGAGGAGGGAGGAGGAGGAGGAGGAGAGGAGGAGGAGGAGGAGGAGGAGGAGGAGGAGGAGCGAGGAGGAGAGGAGGAGAGGAGGAGCGAGAGGGGGAGGAGGAGGAGGAGGAGGAGGAGGAGGAGGAGAGGAGGAGGAGGAGGAGGAGGAGGAGGAGGAGGAGGAGGAGGAGGAGGAGGTGGAGGAGGATGTGGAGGAGGATGTTGTTAACATCAACGCACAGCTACCAAACGATACAGCAGACGGGTGGGCGAGGCCCGCCCGAGGTCGCTCCTTGGCGAGAGAAGCCACTGCCACTTGGGTTACCCTGAGATCGGGGGGGCCAGGGCTAAGACTTTGCAAAGCCGAGACCACTCCTGCAACAGCAGGCAGGACGTGCACGCTCCGAGACCGTGTCTCACCGTGCAGCAGGTACAGAAAAAGGGCGACCTCGCTTCAGCGAGCGCCGCTTCGGGGGGGGGGGCTTCGCGAGTTCCTTTCGGAACGCCCACTTTCGCCCCCTCCCCTCACGGATCGACCCTCGGCTCAGCCGCCAACAGCAGGGCATTCCGTCGGCTGCACAAGACAAGAGCCACTGCTGCACGCATTGGGAGCCACTCACTGGCCGGCACAGTCTAAAAGACTGTGCAGAACCAGGAGAGGGCCCAAGGGATGGAGGCGACGGCGGTGCACAGGACGGGGAGCACAGGGGCAGACCTCCACCCTGCCCCGACGCTCTCGGCATGTAAGGCGGCCCCCCTGAGCAGCGGCCACCGCAGGCGGAGAATTTTCCTCCAGCGCCCCTCGGCCGCGCGAGCGGGGGGGAAGTGGACACACACGCAGCAGCGAGCAGGACGGCCTTGGGGGCCCTAAGCTTGAGCCCGCCGCGCGAGTCCAGCGACCGCGACACAGTGGAGACTGAGCGGCCCCCCTGAGCGGCTGCCACCGCAGGGGGGGAATGACCTCCAGCGCCCCACGGCCGTGCAAGCAGGGGGGAGTGGACACACTTTTTTTGGTCTGCGGGCCGAGAGCGGGCCTCTTCCGGTTAAGAGCTAGGCGGGGCGCGCAAAGCATTAATTGGGGAGACAGGTCGCGGGTGGGCGGGGACTCAGGCGGCCGGAGGGTGCGGGGTGCAGGCGGTGCCGAAGAGCTTGCACAGGAAAAGGTACGCTTTGGACAGGAGCTGGAGGCGAAGTCCCGGAGTGGACACACGCAGCAGCGAAAAGGACGGCCACGGGGACCCCAGATCGAACCCGCCGCGCAGGTCCAGAGACCGCAGAGCGGGCTACAAATAGCACCCGATGGGATGCCGATGCAAATAAAAAGAAAGGCTGAGCGCGCAAAGCGCGTCTTCAGTCCGAGTCTGCAGAATCCCTCCCCCGCTCCAGCCCCCCACCAACTACATCTGCTGACGAGCGATCGGCAGCACTGAGCGCAGGCGGCTGCAGAACCGCAGCAGCAGCAACAGGGACGGCCGCCGCACTCGGTGCGGCACTTGGAGCTCCCGCGGCACCGTCCTCCAGACGCTCAGTGCCGACCTCGGGTCGGAGCCTCCCGTCCAGGTCGTCGCACTCGTCGCCGTGGGGCCTCCCGTCCAGGTCGTCGCACTCGTCGCCGTGGGGGACAGGGAGGCCGAGCGAGAGGGAACGTCCTATGGAAGCAGCCTCCGCAAGCTTGAGAGCCGTCGCCACACTGCGGAGGGCTGAAGCTCCGTCAGGAGACGGAGGCACTGCACTTGCACTCCGACTGGCACCAGGGTCGAGACCTGGAGCAACACTGGGGAGCACAGGGGCGTCCACAATCCGAAGGTCTTTGACTCGCGGGTGGGCGCCAGCCATAACCTTATTGAGAACAGTCCTGTTGTGCCTGCTCAGCTGTGTGAGGCACCTACTCGCAAAGTTACGTTTACACAGTACTCCTTAATGGAGGAACGCCCCACATTTGAGGCATAAGAAGCAATCCGAGCCAT